TCGTCCCACGCTTCCTCCCTGCGGCGCGCACTGATGACGTCGCCGGAACGCGCGTCACAAGCTGACCATATAAAGACCATAATCTTCTCCTCGTGTGTTACAGTACAAACATTCACAGTCATTATAATATAATATATTATCATTATTGTAATAATAATATATTATAATTATAATATATTATTATAATATATTATTATTATTATTATTATTATTATTATAGTACAAACATTCACAGTCATTATTACAGTAATAATATATTATTATTACTGTAATAATAATATATTATTATTATTATTACAGTACAAACATTCACAGTCATTATAATATAATATATTATTATTATTACAGTAATAATAATGTATTATTACTGTAATAATAATACATTATTATTATAATATATTATTATAATATATTATAATAATATATTATTATAATATATTATTATTATAATATATTATTATTATAATAATAATATATTATTATTATAATAATAATATATTATAATATATTATTATTATAATATATTATTATTATTATAGTACAAACATTCACAGTCATTATTACTGTAATAATAATATATTATTATTATAATATATTATTATTATTACAGTACAAACATTATGGGTTAACATTCACAGTCGGATCAAACTAATGGTTTTATTTCCCGCTGCTGTCTCTAGAGATGATGTCACTCTCGGTATGAACTGTGACGTAATCCTTTGTCTATGAAATCTCTAAAACTTCTAACAGAAGTGAAGGCACAAACATTATATGATAACTTAAAGAACTTTCCCACTGTAATGGATAGTTAAAACTGATTTGAATCCCCTTATTAAAGCAATGTTTATTCTATTTTATATATATTTTATTTTTGACTATTTATTTTGAGATTTTTATTTTCATTTTATTTCAATTGCTCCGAATTTATTGTATTGAAGCACTAACGTGCTTGTTGTTATTGTGAGTTGGCTTGCACTAATGTTCACCTGACATTCTCTTCACACTGGTGAGATGTATGTACTATGAAAAGTGCCAGAATTGTTTATTGTTTATTTTTTGTACTTTTTCAATAAGAGTTAAAAAAAAAAAAAAAAGACTTTGCCTTTGACTTTATAGAAGTCAAAGTAAAGAAAATATGTACTTCGTTATAAATGTATTAATTCTGTTGACATTCATAAATGTAAATTCAACAGTAAAAAAAAAGTAAGAAGCTTTATTTCCCTTTGTATTTTATATGTTCGTTTACTGTTACACACAAATATATATATATATATATATATATATATAAGTCTGGATAAAAGAGACTATAAAAAAAATAAAAAATAAACATCTGCACAGAAGCACCGAGCGGTGGCCTGAACCCTGCTGCAACCCTACAAACACACACACACACACACACACACACACACACACACACACAGGTTTATTATCATCATCTAAAACTATCAAATGCACTCTGAAGAAATTAAATATGTAAAATTAAAAACAATTTACATACAGAAGCGTATTGCATTCACTTGAAAATTTATTTTTTGGTTTGATTTTTATTTCTGATTTTCAGAATAATTTTTATTTTTCTGTTTTTCGGACTAATATTTTTTCTGAGTTTAGAGAGCATTTGAAACAATGGACGCATTCATTCCTTTATTGAGAGCTCGATTTAACAGAAACGAACATGACCGGCTTGTTTAGTTCAATCAAGTTTTACTTTGATCTGGTTTCAGACACTGGGAGATAGTCCTGTCTTTGAGTCATATAGATGGTATTATCATTAGTTTGTCGACTCTACGCAGGAACCTGAGGACTTGATAGCTGAAGATGGGGCATGTATGTGCGGGCAGGAGTCACCATAGGTCCATGGGAGTCACTGCAGGTTGGAGGTTCTCACGGGAGTTCGAAGTATCTCGATGATTAAGAAAATAAATTACACCGAAAAACAGGGGGGAAAAAATTTGTCAGAAAAAATAACAAAAAATAAATTACTCAGAAAAACCAGTTTTGTTTTTGTTCAAGTGAATGCAATACGCTTCCATATTTACACATTAAAATTTATTCATAGTTTTTTAATTCATATCAGAAGCTTCCGCTGCGTTGTAAACAATGACAGTAAATACACCGTAAAACCTTAAACCGTTTATTAACTCAAACTATTTAAACATGAAAAAATATATTTGAGTTGAGTAAAAGTGACTCAAGAATTTATAGTTAAGGTAACTTGGGTATATTAAGTTAATTGTACTAATTCCATTCAGTTAATTAAAGTTACACTCTGAACTTATTTAAACTGTGTGAACAGTATTTATCTGAATGAAGTTACTTAAATGCATCTTCTTTATTAAAAAAAGATTATCAAAATTAGTTTTTTAAACTAACATCAAATCTTTACACTTTGGGCATCATTAATAATTATTTGGAGGCATACTTTGGCTTATGATGGTGTTTCTTTTGCTTTATTTAACACAAGTGGATAACGAGAATTTACAAAACAACAACAGAAATAAAAGGGGGGGGACAAGTATATTATATCAGAATCAGAACTTTATTGACTAATACTTTATTGATCTCTGGGGGGAGACGTGTTTGTTACAGCTGCTCAAGGTGCTCACACAACATAAAAGAATAGACTATTATATTAATAGTATAATAATTATATTACAATATCTAAAAATATATCTAGAAATAAAATTACAAATGTATATATATATATATATATATATATAAAATATAATAAAAGTCTAAGACTATAAAATATATGATGATTAATAAACTGAAATGAAAGCAAAAATAGAAAAATTCTGAACAAATTATTTAAAACTTCAACAACCTATTTTTTCATTTGGGTTTAATAAAATTTATTTATTTATTTTTGGGGAATTAAATTACGTTTTGTTTTATTAGGATGTATCAGGATTCACAGTGACGTCAGACGAGAGTTCCCGGATCAAAGATCAAACAAGGGCAGGCGCGAGCCAGCCGTGACGACAGAGCAGCGCAGGGTAGCGCGTGCCCAGCTGTGTGTGTGTGTGTGTGTGTGTGTGTGTGTGTGTGTGTGTGTGTGTGTTGGTTTTTGTGCATCGAGCGGACGTTTAGAATTAGCAGGACAGCTAATGTCCTGCTAATTCTAAAAATGTAAAAGTGTTTCTAAAAAGCTAGAGAGCTCAAATCTGAAAAAATAAACATAATAAAAATATATCATAATTAGGGATGTCCGATAATACCGACCCTCCGATAATATCGGCCGATATTCACAAAAAATGTAATATCGGGAATTATCGGTATCAGGTTTTTATAACCGATGTTTGTTCTGTAGGCTTCAGCATTTCTGAGCCTGCATGAACGCAGTATGGGACGTTTACCGGCGCGCGCTAGATGACGTATAACAACAACAACTACACGCGAGACTGGTTGGTTGCTAACCGTGGCTAACAAGCAAACAATTTAAAGCTGAATGATTTTAATATTAACACAAAATAAAAGTGCAATACACCTTAAATATTTTACCCTGCTATGAGCTGTTCCTCAACCAAACTAACAATTGGCTTAGAATTGACATTAGCACTCCTTCAGGTGAATAATACAATTAAACACATTAACCAAAGCTAGCACTTAGCTAGCGATTAGCGCTTGGCTAGCGATTAGCGTTAGCGCTCTTTTCACTATTAATACAATGAAAGTTCCCTTTCCTGTTATGACCTATCAACACATGGCTAAATTTAATATTCAAATGAGCCATGTGTTGAATCACCAGTTGCTACCACCAGGCTGTCAATCAAGCTCTCAGCGACCGAGAACGTAATGTTAGCTAAGGTCAGTTGGTGGACTGAAATTCTGTAAATGCTCATACTCATATGAATTCATAAATATCACTCACATTCAAGGTACGCATACAAACCGTGTACTGAAAACCTGTAAAGGTTCAAACGCTAACCCCAAGGGGTTACGATATATACTAGAAGCCTTTGGACCTGCTCGCTTTCAGTCAATACCCTCATCCAGGGCCTTTTGTTGGTTGTGTTAGGCGCTAATTAGCTTTCTTTGGAAAGATAGTGGCCTTTCAGCATGTACTAGAAGCATTTTCAGTCACAGCCATGTACATGTCCCAAAAGCACCTAGAACCAGTGAAGGCTCTTTTGTTTGTAGTGGTAGGTGCTAATGATCTTTCTTTGGAAATTTGTTGCCGAAGTAAACACAGAATGATGGATCCAATCCAATCCAATCCAACTTTATTTGTTAAGCACTTTAAAAACAACCAAAGTTGACCAAAGTGCTGTACAGGAGAATAAATAGGACATCATAAATGTAAACAGTGATGGTGATGATGAAGACCACTGTGAGGAATATAGACAGTGATGGCACTGGAAAAGTTCCCGTGGCAGACAACACGGACGAAGTCCGACAGCGATGAGCTCGATGTCCGGGCTGCAGACGCTCTTTCACACAGAGTGCCCGGCGTTACACCACCTGTTGTTTATGAGCACGGACAGTCCCCCTCCTTTCTTCATGCCGGTCGCGGTGGTGTCCCTGTCGGCTCGAACCGTCTGGAAGCCGGGAATGGTGACGATGGAGTCCGGTATCTGCTCGATGATTGCAGGGATGTAGAGTTTAAAGCTCCTCTTCTTCATCCTCCGTTTAACCCCCGCTCTGCAGCCTCACCGTCTCCTCCTCAGCTCCTCCGGTATGGAGGCTCTCTCTCCAGTCAGGATGCTAGGGGGCCTCAGGGCGATCATCTGGTCGCGGGTGAAAACAATGCGACTCCCCGTCGCCATGGAGACCAGCGTAAACAAAAAATAAAAAGTGCTCAAAAACGCCAAAAAAGTATTTAGGCGACATGAACAAAGTAGTAAGAAAGTAAGAAAAGAGTTCAAAATAGCAAAAACACACTGAAAACACACTAAAACTACAACAATGAAAGGAGCTGCCATGACAGGCTGCCGTTGTCGCCGGCGCCATTCCATGGATGGATGAACCTTCGGTGAAACTTGACTAGCCTTTGTAACACA